GGTAATAATATAGTGTAAAGCGCATAGAGCTTGCTGCTGAGCGGGGATATGCGCTATACAAATGCTATCTATTATTATTATTAGAGAGACAGAGAGGGAGAGTTTAATGTGTCCCGGGCCCTCATATTACCGTATGCAGTTGTGAGCGCCGTAAAACACTTACCCCCCAAAAAAAGAGACAGACAGACAAACAGAGAAAGAGAGAGAGGGAGAGAGAGAGAGATAGGGGGGGAGAGAGAGAACAAGTTATGTCATATAATAATATACAGGTACAAATGCACACATACTCTCCCCCTTAAAAAATTGTTTTTATTTACATAGCTGTTTAATACATTATAGAACTAAACCCAACCCTCTAGTCCCCATGTTCAAAGTGGTTCGGTGTGCCCCCAGAAGCATGCGGTACTGCTACAGAGAGAGTGGACTGGTATGCGGCCGCACAAACTGTCTTTCAAGGGCGTGACCAACTGCGTCATCCGCCTGATGCAGTCCGTCAAGTTCAACGCGGAGATCCCCTTCTCTGACGTGCTCTCCACCAGCCAGTCCAGAGACTCAATGGCGCCTCAGCCTACCAAGATTGCCAAGACTATGGTGGGTATCATCTGTCTGCCTGTTTGTTTCCTTTTTTTTAGTGTCTGCTTGTCTGTCTGTTTTCTCTGTCTCTCTCTTTCTCTGTCTCTCTTTCTCCTTCTCTCTTTATCTATCTATCTATCTATCTATCTATCTTTATCTATCTATCTATCTATCTATCTATCTATCTGTCTATCTGTCTGTTTGTCAGTCTGTCTATTTATCTATTTATCTGTTATTCTGTGTGTCTATTTATATCTCTTCTCTGAGTGCCTGAAAGTCTCCGACCTTTTTTCTTTTTCTTGGCCCCTATCTTTTTGTCAGTTTCTCTCGTAAAAAATATTTTGACTACTCATTATGAGAGGGAAACGGGTTTTTTTTCGGGGTATGTGAAAAGTTTGAATAAGAGAAGAACAATGAGTTGAGTTTATGAAAAGAGTTATTTCATAAATGGATGTAGATGTACGTGTTCTATAAACGATCTCTCTCTTTCCATGGCCAGGGCACCGCAGACGACTCGGACAGGCGAGACAGTTTCAATTTCTCCCCGCAGGACTTGGTAAGGAATCTGTGATGTCAACTCCTGTTTTTTTATATTTATTTATATACCATAGCATCTTCACCTCTGCATCTCAGCACTAAAACTCAGTAACCACGAGTCACTGTGTGCAAAAATGAACATCGTGCTGCTAAAAATAGTTGCCTTTGAATACAAAAGTCTTTGTGAATACGACTCTCTGCTTCTTTGGAGCTAGATCTGAAGGATAGATTTGAAATGAAGACACAATTGATGGAGTATTAATTTTCAGATGATTTTTTCTCTGATTTTGAGTCCCCTGTTCTTCTGTCCTGGTAATTAGCGCATCATCTGGCATGGTGATTCTTCTTACCTTTTTGACTACTCTCTTTACCTTTTACTATGGTCTTTAAAGTTGTCTTTATCTCCAATAGTCATTTACTTCCTTTTCTCCAAAGACTTCTCTCTCTCTCTCTCTCTCTCTCTCTCTCTCTCTCTCTCTCTCTCTCTCT